AAACTGCTCACTGGCCCCTTCCGTTTCCATTGGGATGGATGTGGTAGCCTTCAAGCGTGCTCTGTGTTCCCATTCCTATTTTATAAAAGCATTACGCCACAAAATGGCTGGCCCAAGGCCAGAAAGCGCTTGCAGGGCAGGGTCAAGAGGAGCCTCCCAGAGGCCCCCTGGGACCCTGCTCCCTCCGTGTCGCTGCCAAACCCCCGGGCTGGCACCCACACCGCCGAGCTCCCGTCCCTCTGCCGTTCCCTTTGCGCAGGATGCTTTCAGCCAAGAAATTCCCTTGCTCTAGGAAACCAGAAACCTCCCACAATCCAGAATTGTATTCTGAGTGTGGAAAAAAAAAAAACTGCAACAGAACTAACTTATGATTTTCCCAACAATTATGTGATCTGCCTATAGTGAGTGGAAAAGTAGGGGTTTTGCATCTTTATTAATTGTACTCAATGTGCTCTTTAAATTGTTGTGTGTTTTCTAATGCAGTTTTTTCGTACAAACAGTGAGACTTACATGCAGTGTCAGAACTGCTTATGAGGATGGGATAAGGCATCATGTCCTTGTCCCCATAAATAACCCCACTCTGATGTTCAGAGGGTTTGTGCAGCATGTTACTGTGGGAGATTATCATCTTGACAGATGTCTATTGTTTCTGGTGCCATGTAGAATTAATAGTCTAAATGGTGAAAATATTTTGAATTTTTAGGAAAATAGCAGACATGAGTATGAAGTTAACAGGTGTTAATTTTTGTGCTCTTAACTATGAGATTGAAGTCTAATTGTAGAAGGATAATACCTAACTGATGTACCTGTCCGCTAGAGTATCTGTCTCTCTAAAATTTATTTGATTTGCATTACAAGACAGCTGAAAGTATATATAGTTATGTCTCTTATACCTTTCCAGACTGATTTCTTTTTCAGTGAGAAAGTGTCAGGACATGTCTGTATGCAGGGCGTGTGTTAAAATGCCTCTGCAGCCAGTTCATATGTACTTTCCTGCAGCTGGCTGGCCTGGAGTGGATATGGGGCTGCTTGTATCTATTCGTTCAGATAAGCTCCCACCGGCAACATGGGAAAAAAACCTGGAGCTCTGGAAATGGCCTGTGTGTTTTTTTTTGGTTTTGTTTGTTTGTTTATTTTAATGAAGCCGTCCTTTCAAAGGAATCCTAGGAAGATTGGAGGCGTGGAGGCTTTAGAGCCAAGTCTAGTTTGGGATGAAAGGGGAGGCCAAGCGGAGGAGCAGGCTGGCTGCCCGCACGACATGGGAAGCTGCAGATGGTGTGGTGGGGAGGAACGAGGTGGGAAAGGCAGTACTAGTGACTTATCTTTACAAGGAAAAGTTCACCATACCCTCCCCAAAGCAAAGTATGAAAGAGGAGGGGAAAGGGTGTTTTCTCTCCTAGACCAGGGAGTGCCTGAACTGAGTTAAAGCAGCACCCTTGCAAAGACGAGGGATAAAGTAGTGTATCTACGCAGGAACGCGTATCGTTTGGCTGCGTGCCATGCCACTGCCACCACTGCGGCCACCTCTGCCGGGCAGCTGCCAGCTGAAACACTTGGGAAAAACCCCTCCGCTCTGTATTTCTGAGCTCTGCGTGCTAGCTGAAGAAAAAGCAAGTCAAAGTATGTATTTCTGGCCACAGCTGTTTCTGGAGGACTGAACTTTAAGCATGTGATAATTTTCAGTTATCCCAAGCAAAGAGGCCAAATATAAACCCTGTATCACAAGTAACGGAGATGTTTTGTACTATATATATATGAATGAAGTGCGAAAAGCCTTGCTATGGTTTTTGTTTTCTATCAGAGGGTATAGAGGAAGGTTAAATAGGTCAGTTGAAGTGGGAGCGCTGCTCTGTCCTGCATGGAATTTTTTTGAAGCACACTAGGTAGTGTCGAAAAATAGGTTAAAAAAATGAAGGCTGTTTAGGTGTTGAAGAATCAAAAAAAAACCAGGCATCTCTTAGAGTGGACTCAGGTGAGCCTTGATGGCTTCCTAAGTACTAATGCTATTGGGATTTTGTTGTTACTGTTGCTGTGTTTTTTTGTTTTATTTTTGTTTTTACTATGTACAAGTCAAGCTAATGTCAAGCCATGACACTGGCAAAGGAAAAACTAGCAGCAAAGTTGATATAGATTTATTTGCTTTGCATTATCTTCCCTTCTGGAGCTAGCCTTGCTAAAGAGTAGTACACTCAGGTAGGTGATTGCCTCTACACACTGTTTTTTTTGGCTTTGCTTTTGTTTGGAGGTAGGGGGTCATTTTGGCTAAGATGTCATCATTTGGTATTGCACTGTCAGGCTTGCACTGAATTGTAGACTGTAGCCCAGGCCATTCTGCTAGGCGTGGTCTTCAGGCCAGCCTGAGCAGCAGAGTTGGCTTTAGGTCCCATCACTGGACTGTGGACAACACGTTGTCCTTGCGTGCCTGGCCAGGCTGTCGGGGACGGGCTGTGGGGACCTCAGCCTGACCTGGCCCGTGCAGCTCCCTTTGTGCTGTGCTCCTGCGAGCAAAGTCCCCTAGGCAGAGAAACGTAGCCTTAGCAGCGCTAGACGTGTTAGCAGCGTTAGAAGCACCTTTTTCTTCTGATAGGTGCTGAGCAGTTTTTGCTCTTTATGAAATCTCACGGTTTGATGAGTTTGCTGCAGCTAGAGGTTGCGGCTCTCCTCAGAGTTTCCTGTTCTCTTCCATCGAAAGTCTTTGTCCGCTGCTGTGCGTTCAGCACCCTTCAGAGCAGCTCTAAGCACCCTGTCAGGATCTGCCCGATCTCTGCAGCCCACTGGTGCCTGCAGCACCCTCGCAGAGCTGAGTGCTGGCCTGTGGTGGTCTGTCAGGCCGGTTTGGCTTCTCAGATCCCGTGGGCAGGAGTCCCCATTGCTTTGCTTTTGCTTAAGGAAGTGCTTTGTCTTAATCACACAGAAAGCAACCCCTCGATCTGTTTAGTAGAAGTGGGACCTCGCGTGGCCGTAGGTTTGCACCCGTCCATGAGAACGAGTGAGACTTCACTGCGTCGTCACTGGCTCCGCGCTGCTGAAGCCTCTGCTTTTGCCCGCAGATACTCTGCTTTTCTTTCCATCAGCTGTTAACATGACTTCTGTACAGGAACAACTATCTAATTAAGGAATATTGGGCTTGAGCTTGCTACTGGTTACCTTTTCTATGCTTTTTTGCAATAAGTACTGTAACTATAATAAGACTCATTTTTTAAATAGTACTATTTTTAAAATCTTTTAATTGCTTTTACCATTCTTTACACTCTTATTTCTGAGACTTTTTTTTTCCTAAAGCTTCCCAGAAAACACTTCTCCAGCTTTTTTTTTTTAACTGAGAGCAGATTTAATTGCAGCATATGATAGTACTGATTGCGTACTACAAGGTTTAGCGTTATCTTCATAAAACATGGTTATTCCACTGTGGTGGGGGGCTCAGTATATTTTCATTGTTGAGTGTCTTCTAAATTATGTCATTAAATATGTGGGGAGCTTAGAGGATGAAACAAACACAGAGGAAGTAACAAAGTAGCGGATAGAGTCTCTACTGCGTTGTGCATTGTATAATCATTTACGCTTCGGCAAAGCAAGTGTGAGCGCAGTTAAAACGCTGACAGTATCTTATACGTGTTTAGTGCAAGGCTTAAATTATACTGTGAGATAACCAGGCACTGGAGAATAGGGCCCCAGAATCAGTTCAATCTCACAGTGGTAAAACAAGGTCAGATCAAAGACACTTTTTCCTGCGATCTCAGGAGCATTTAAACATCTCTGCTTCATTGAAATAACCTTGCATCGTAAAGTCTTACAAAAATTTATCTAAAGTATATTTGTCAAATGAAATATAATTTTGTTTATGCTTATGTTTCTTAATTTAAGCACATGCAGTAATTCTACAAATTTGAAAAGTATTTTCACTTGAATGCATTGGATTTCACTGCAATAATTTGATTTATTTGATTTTATGACTTCTTCTTTTTTTTAGTTTAAAGGATCTTATCCAGAATGAAGATGTGAAACCCAAGCTGCAGTACATCATGACTAACCCTTCCTTTTCTATGGTAACAGTTCAAAGTGAAGATAGTGGAATAACCTGGGAAACCAGCTCAAGCAGATGTTCTACTCCCTGGGCCTCAGAAACTAGTACAACTTCTGATCTTTATAGTATGGAAAGTTCACCAGTAGGTTCTCCTCCAGGAAAAGTTATCTTTATTATGAATGAAGGTAAGATTATTCGGAAAAGGAAGCGTAAACCTTCAAATAGGGCGGTGATGCCTACAAATCTCAAGGGAGGCCAGGGCAATAAAAAACGTGACTTTTCTGGAATGCAGAAGCAAGAACCAAGAACTGTTCTGGCAGATGTGCAGGGCTCAGTGTTAAATGTTGAACAACTGGAAACACAGGATACAGATGAGGAAATGTTAGAAGATAAGGAAGACCTGGAAAACATTGCAGAAGAACCTGTAAAACGTGCTCCAATAAGATCAATTTTTAGAGAAAGCAAACTGAGAAAAGTAGGGCCAATCCTTGGAGGACCAGTAAAAGCTAGAATCCAGCTGTTCAATTCAATTTTTGGAGTAACTGGGCCCTTCCCTGACCTGCTAGAAAAAACTGGAATCCGGAGGTCTAGTTCAATTTCAGGAGAGTCTGAACACTTTCTTGAAGCATCAGTAAAAAAAAGATTGCAGAAGTTCAGTTCATTTTCTGAAGGAACACATCCAAAACCTTTCCAGAAAGCAAGAAGTAGAAATCTTGAAACACCATCAGAGAGAAGAAGAGAGCAAAGACGGCAACTCACATCACAATCAAATCAAAGCTATTCGTCACCGACAGTGCCTCTTGAAAAACGGCTTCTTAATAGAGATGATGTTTCATCTCAAAATATTAAATCTGTTCAGATGAAAGATAAACCTAGCACATTTTCAAACTCTGGTGCAGAAACAACTCTTCAGCATGAAGAAAGAAAAGAAAGACAAGCTCTATTTGAGACTACAAGTCAGGTATCAGGACAGTCACTGGAGTCCTGCCTTCCTGAAGAAGCAACGAAGCAGCGAAGTTGTGCATACTCAACGGTGGCCAAAACAGCAATAACACAGCAGTCAACATCCATTCCACTGGATTCTGGTGATAAACCAGAGAAACAAGCACCGCTTCTTTCAGCTGAGACTACAAACAAGAAACCAGACCAATCACTGTGGACTGCACCACGTCTTCTGGATGAACTGAAGGAGCAGGAAATTCAGCCCAATCGAGCACCGCCGTCTGTTCCAGCAGATTCTACTAATGAATTAGAGACAGAAGCTCCCCAAACCGGTTTTCCTATGTCTACAGCATCTGTGTCAGAACATCCTGAGAAAGAAGTACAGAAGTCAGCAATTCAGTCTTACTTACCTAGTGCTCCATCAGCTAAATCCAAATATTTCACTCTATCAGAAACAAGGCAGGAGGCTGTCATTCCTCATTCGTCTAAAACTGCACAGTCAGAGCCTGAACATGTGTTTTTATCACATTCTTTAGATGAAGCAGAGAAGCAAGAAGCTGAGCATTACTCATCAGCAACTGCTCAGTCAGAAACTGAGCTTTCAGCTTTACTCTATTCTGTTAAAAAAAGAGAGAAACAGAAGACCCCAGAACCAGAGCCCCAAAATATTCATTTAGAGAAGCGGAGTATTCAAACCCATTCTGTAACTACTCAGCTGGAGTCTGAACAACAAGACTTTTCCCCCTCCATTCAGGAAGCAGAGGAGCAAGGAACTGAACTATATTCACATATTCCTGAAAAAATAGAGTCTAAATATTTTGGCATTTCATATCCAGTTCGTAGAGAAACACAGGAAACTCAGAAATTTTCACCTGTAAATACAGCAGTAGATTTGGATCACTCCATTATTTCCATTGAAAAAAACAAGCAAACAGAGAGTACACAACTGGAAATGGAACACGCAGATTTCGTACATACCAGTGAAGTAACTGAGGAATCAGAGAGAATGCAGATGGAGACAGAGTATCCAGACTTCTCTTTTTCCAGAGAAGAAACAGAGGAATTGCAGAGTGCACAGCCAGAGATGGAGCATCCAGATTTCTCATATTCCAGGGAGAAAACAGAAGACTTGGCGAGTGCACAGCTAGAGACGGAGCATCCAGATTTCTCATATTCCAGGGAGAAAACAGAAGACTTGGCGAGTGCACAGCTAGAGACGGAGCATCCAGATTTCTCATATTCCAGGGAGAAAACAGAAGACTTGGCGAGTGCACAGCTAGAGACGGAGCATCCAGATTTCTCATATTCCAGGGAGAAAACAGAAGACTTGGCGAGTGCACAGCTAGAGACGGAGCATCCAGATTTCTCGCATTCCAGGGAAGAAATGATGGTATCAGAGAGTGCACAGCTAGAGACGGAGTATCCAGATTTCTCTCATTCCAGGGGAGAAATGGTGGCATCAGAGGGTGCACAGCTGGACAGAGAGCATCCAGATTTCTCTCATTTCAAGGAAAAAAAAGATGAATTGCAGAGTGCACAGCTGGACACAGAGCATCCAGATTTCTCTCATTCCAGGGAAGAAATGGTGGCATCAGAGGGTGCGCAGCTGGACACAGAGCATCCAGATTTCTCTCATTCCAGGGAGGAATCAGAGGCATCGCAGAGTGCACAGCTGGCAAAGGAACATCCCACTTTGTCCTGTTCCAGAGAAGGAATGGTGGAATCGGAGGGTGCACTGCCAGGGGTGGAGCGTCTAGGTTCTTCATATTCCAGAGAAGAAAGAAAGGAATTAGAAAGCATACAACTGGGGACTGAGCATCCAGACTCTTCCTTTTCCAGGGAGGAAACAGAGGAATTGCAGAGTGCACCACTGGGGATGGAGCCTCCAGATTTCTTGCATTCCAGGGAGGAAATGGTGGCATCAGAGAGTGCACAGCTGGACACT